CTGGCATCGTAGATTCTATGATAACTTTATAAACGTCAAATTCCGTCTGTGATTCCTTTTTTCTAGCCTTGTTGCGTATTCTGGAACAAATTCAACAGTTTTTTGTATCTAAATGACAAAGATCTTGAAATATCAATTTCAATTCACAATTGAATGGTGTATTCTGTGGAATTGCGCCTGTGCAAATACTGCTAACTGACCCTCATTGACTGATGTCGAACGAATCGATTTCCACTGTTTACATCTATAATCACTAGCCATTATTGTAGTCGGAAGTACAAAATTTGTTTTTCAGCATCATTCACGACATATCCTACACTCTGAGGCTGGAACACTTTGTCTTGAATGTCTAAATTATTCAACTGCTTCAGAACATTTTTCTTTTCCCCATATAATTGAATATCATTAATTATTTGTTGGACACGTCTCTCAAATTCCTCTACCTTACGTCTGTATTCTCTGAATGCCATTACAATACTAATTTTTGTTCACCAACGACGTACGCAACATCGTTTTCCTTTCCAATCTCATATTGATAGTAACTGACTGATGGTGTACAATTATTCAAACACGAAAACGGCCACGACAATGACAACGAAACGATAACGAATGAACGCAAGCAAAATGCTCGAAACTCATGCAAAACAACGTATTTTGAAATGTCATTGTCAAATACTTCGCTCCTCCATTGCCCCCACGTTGAGTCCACAACACGTAACCTTAGTGCCCTTCTGTACACTTCGACGCCATGTTTTTTCTTTTAATGATGTATTTTGAGACATCCCGTACACAGTCGTATTCCTAACCCTTCATTTTCAAACCGGCAACGCTACATTGCCTCATAAACAACAATAAATTTTACAACCGGCAACGCCGAACCTGCCATGCTGGCTTTGGCAGCGTATAACCTCGATACCATCTGCATCTCTCTTTGCCTCGATTACGTCACACGCGCCTCTCGCTCTTTCTGGAACATATTCCTGATGAAGTAAGTGACTGCTTCATTGGAGAAAATGAACTTCGCTCTTTATCTTCCAAATTTTTTTAAAAATATTTTTTTAATATAGATGTACTGTATGTGGAAAATAATAAAGACGTTTCATTATTATTATTACTATATAAATTTCCGAACTGTTCGACTTATGTATCACTGTATGCCTTGAAATAATTATATACATTTATTTCATTCAGTGTGATACTAGCCGTCGTGTCAAAATTTGTACATACTTTTCATGAATGTTTTCCTAAACATTTTCCCAAAAGATATCCGCAAACATAGGCCAAGCTGTTGCCCTCGGCAACAGCTTGGGCTATGGCTAGAGTTCTATAATCATTTGTCTCTACTCTCAAAGGTTAATAGGGATTTTTTGGAACATCCACAAGAATCTTCACTCTATTTATGTCAGCATCTATAATATTAGATAGAATCTCACTAGTATCTTCTAGACAATTAGTTCCTTCTGCCTGTGTGAAATAATGAAGAGTAAATGTATTTTTGAAAGCTTTGGCAATTTGAACAGGAGTTGGGTTTCTGGCATTTCCACAAGTATTTCTTTGTTGACCAAAATAATTTTACACACATTCCTGATTTATATTCCTCGTCAATATGTGGGAGTATCCTTCACTATGTAGTTTTTCTCAAAGTTGCAGAAATGCTGAAATTGTTATCTGCCACCCCTCAATGAATCTCATTTGTCCAGTCGTGTTTTCTTCCTTTTTTTGATATTATAGTCAATTTGCTGAAAAATATTTTCATTTCTTTCAGAAAATCAATTTGCTTTGATGTTCTGAAAAAAGTTTAGTGAAATGTTTGACACCGTCAAATCGATTCGAATTCAAAATATCAAAAACTATATCCATTTTTTCAATGAATGTAGCCGTAGCTATTGCTACTGATGGTATCTGATTGAAAGTGGCATAAGTATTCATCGCTGTAACTACCGAATCACTGAAAACTTGACTGGCTAATTTAACCTTCATCCCTTGAAAATTAGTTGAAAATGAATGAAAATCAGTAAGTTTGAGTGCTAGTCTATATTGCTTTCCTTTATCCAAGTTGTAAAGTTGTCCAAGATGACTTTTGTTCGTTGTAAATTGATCAAATTTCCAAAAGTCATCGAAAAAATGGTTTCTGCTACATTTCAGCAGATGGGGAGTATCAAAAGAGAAATATGGCTGCTCTACAGTCACTTTGACATCTTTTCTGGCAAGTGTATAATAATTCAAACCTAAATCTGAAATGATACCCCTAAATCTTAATCCAATTTTTGATAATTGCCTAACATCTTCAATCAGAAAAAGTATGCAACAGTAGGCTCCAAAAAGGTGCAGATATTTCAGTGGAAGTACTATTTTTCCTACAGATACGTATACTAGCCAAATTAAAAAATGTGGTTCAACAGTTATTTTCTTTTGTGGATTTCCAGTGGAACTCCGATTGTTTTGTCATTTTATATCATTACTTGTGAGGCATATACTATTCGTAGAGTTCAATTTCATCAAATTAATTTCATAAAAAAAGTCTGCATAAATATGCTCTCTAATAATTTATCAGGAAAAGAGTTGGTTGGGTAACAGGATCGATTTTTTCTTAAAACGTTTCGAATTTAACTAAATTCTTGAATTCGAAACGTCGGCAAAAAAACAATAGTTTTTTCAAGAAAAAATTGATCCTGTTACCCAACCAACTTTTTTTCTGAAAAATGATTGTATCACTAAACTAGTTGAGTGAATATAATAATTCATTTTATGATTTTCGTTATATGTTCATTCCTTCAATCTTACATGATGAATACTAGAAAAACATACATTTTTTCTTCAATTGGAAATCGAAAAAAATCAATGCCGACATCACCCTGCACATTACAGCAACCCACAGCTCGACACTTGTTCATTTTGAAACTAGACACGAATTTTTCACAACTACAAAACCACCACTTACAACGACTCACTCTGTAATAATATTACATGCCTCAACTTGGCTCGCTTAGTAAACCCATCAGATTCAGTCGGTTGCGCTGTAGATTGGCTGAGCATAGAATTCGAGGTGGGGAATCTTGACCCAAATATGGCGGAGAGTGAACTTACTTGTGTTTACTTCTATACGGTGCTACGGTTAGAGATTTCTGTACACTGGTGTTAGTGACTCATACATGTAATTTTCGTGCAAATCTGTGGAACTATATATAATTTGGTTTTCTCTAAAATAACGTTATATATCGTTCATATAATTATTCGTGTGACGGTAAAGTGTTACGTATTCTACAACGTATGTGAATTGAAAGGTATATGTGAATTGTGATGACACTGACAAAAAATATTATTTTAGGTTATGTAGGCATAGGTATAATTTTTTCAATTACTTTTGTGAATCTATAAGAATCAAGAATTAGCAACGATGTTCATCATCAAGTCTGCCTTTGTTGTGATGTGTGTTTTGATTTTAAATGAATACTGAAATAGAAATATTCATGAAAAAATGAATGTTTCGAATAAAAAAGTGGAAATATTCATCTCTCCCAACTACGTATACCGTAGGTTCTGGTAAATGCCTACCGGAAAACAACTACTTCCCCGGCTAATACAACACTGCTTCATATCCACAGACAGTTATGCAAGATACCTCACAGAGGTTAGTCTCGCAAATAATTGTTTCGTGATAGTATGTCGAAATATTTATTTTCTTATACGTTTGTATTTCTCCTGAGAAGATAACGTCTTCAGAGTTATTTTGATTTCTGGAAATATTTATATTACGTATTATAATTTATAATACGAATTATTTGTAACTGAAGTTACTGCAGTTTCGTCCTACAAGGCTAAAGATTTACAAGTCTCCTCAAGGCGCTCAGTTGCAAAGCCAAACTTTGACATCGATCGCCGACGAGATTCGTCCTTTGCCTTTCACTTTAGTTTTTACTGCAAGGCAACCAGTTGTTAATTACATCATTTATGATACAATTCTACAGCACTGTTTCGACTCGCCATAGGCCTCATCAGTGTTTCAGACATGCTTGTCTGAAACACATATCCATTGCTGGACTAGATTACATGCATTTGTGGTTCAGCCTGGCACCACTGATGATGCCTATGGCGGATCAAAACGGTGCTGTCCGATATTGAATCATGAATGCGTTGTATTTGAGCTCTAGTTTACAAATATTTGTCATGCATTGGAAGCTGCGGAGAAAGACAAAAGATAAGTCTCGTCGGCAGTTGATGTCGAAACTTGGCCTTGAGGAGACTCATTTATCATTGATGTTCGAGAATTGAGTTAACTGTCGATCCCATAGATGGCATCTTCGTAAGGGGAAATGCCATCGCCCTCACTCGAAATTACGACGGAATTTCCAAGAAGCAAATAATGAAAATATGTAGTGATCATCATTTCATATGAAGTTTCCAAACTTTTCAAAATACACTGAAGTGTCTCTTTTGGAACTAAGTGAACCATGCAAGAAAAAAGTGTTGTTTTGTGTAGCTCGCATGGTTGACGGACTATCAGCATCTACGCTCATCACACAAAACACCACTTTTCCTTCTGATAAAACATATTATTTTCAACTAAAGCAATCTTGCACTCATATCATCTTTCAATGTCCCCTGGTTTGAGTAGAAAAATTAGTTCATTTGCTATTAACAAAACTAATGTTCATTTGAATATGCCTAAACTTGGGGTGTGCTTGTTTGAAATAATTCAATAGGCAGAAAAAAATTTATCTAGATACAGACAATAACAATTTGCTCTATTATAAAACTTCACATCAAAATCAATCGGCGGGCATTTCTACTCGCTATGATTCACAAGTATGCGGATGACAATTGATAGAAAGGAAAGTACACTACGGCACAAAAATTAGATTGGAAAGTAGAAACATATCTGTTCTGTCTGTTTTTTCGTTAGCCACCTGTCGCACCCCTACGAACGACAACCCTTTTTAAAAAGTCGAAACTTGTGCGAGCTAAGAATTAAGAACTAACGAGGTCTTACCTTTTAACGTGTGATTCCTAACACGGGTTGGACGGTAGCAAGTGAAAATCGATCGCTCAGTGAATCAAGTGAGTGAACAAAGCACCCACGTCGAACCGACCGACCATTCGATGATACATTCAAAAACTGATTCTACAAAAACTCACCGTATATACAATTTTTGAGATATTTCATATCTTGGATTGATTCATATGTTATTCCTCCATGGTTTTTTATCGTTTCCAAAATTTCTGCTCTAACCTTATTCTGTACCTCTCTATTAAGACATAACTCATGCAGTGTAAAAGAAATCGAAGAGCTGGTAGTTTCGAATCCAGCTGCAAAAAACATCAGGGCTTGTCCGCAAGCTTTTTTGGTTGCTGAAAAAAGATAATAATTAATTTAGAAACAGACATTTTCTGAAAAAGAAAATTGTATCAGTAAATATTTTATAATTAAACAAAGTCTATCTGCCTTGAAACTATAAAACTAAAAAACTACCAAAATTCCAGTGGACAGAGTGGTTCTAAAGGAAGGTTTATGTGTATAAATTATAAATGTTTTGTGTGAATTGTCTGAAATATGACGATGTTATCCATGAGAAGTTGAGGCGATATGGTTCTACCCTGCGAACTTTCATTGAAAACGCTACCTCAAAATAGCCCGCGATGACATATTATGTCTGTCTATCTTTCAAAGTTGGCTTAGTACACACATATTAGTGTTTTGAATAATGGTCACATCTAATGTGATCCTGGGAAAGCTATTTACACGAATAGGATATTCATCCCTTTCAAATTCAAAACGTTAGTCACCTTAAGCATTCCATGCACATTATACCTAATTGCCTTTCACACACCATATAATTGATCCAAATTGAGATCTTAGTTGAATTATCGCAAAATTGAAACTATCACGCAAGAAAATAAATTCGAGCGGTCCGGCCGCAACCTGGCAAACTTACACGTTTTTTGTTTTATATTTTATTAAAATACTTATCTATTTCAAAATAAGCATTAATAATTGAGAACATACTTTCGTTCGAGTGAATTTTATCTAAGGTCATTATTATTAGTTATCAATTGAGGTACCCGACGTCACTCAGGGAGTTGATGTAAGATTGTATGGAAGTTAGAATAAAATGATGAAATGGGAATTATGGAATGTCGACGAATCTTGCTTTATATAACCATACCAAAGGTTAGGTTATATCCCACTCCTACGAAAAATACTTTTAATGTTTACAATGTTGCAAGCAAATCCTAAACAAGTATGTTGAATGTTTTGTATTTGGTCACTGGTCGAGAAAAAATAACATACCACATACCAATAATAGATGTTTGAAAATATTTTCTCACAAATTTTAGCGAATAAGCTTCTTTTTTGTTGTTTGGAGGGTGAAAAACCTTGAAATAAATGGGGTTTGAGTCCGAAAAATGATTTTTCATAATGTTTAATATGGTGCATCTTTTTGAAGACATTGTGGTGTTTTTCTGAATATGTGGAAAATGTCATACATTATTCCCATTCCAAACAATACTAACCCAGATGACTGGCCCCACGTTTTGCCTTTTTCAATATCACTCACCCTTTCTAAAGCCCTTGAAAAATTTTTCTTGATCAACTTTTTATTTATTTTTTTATTAACACCCAATCCGGATTCCGAGCAGACCACAGCACTTCTACTGTCCAAGCTAATGTCACTGATGACATTTTTAGAGCACCTAATACCAAACTCAATACTTGTCTGGTTTTAGTTGACTTTATTAAAGCCTTCGACCTCGTCAATCATGAACTTCTATGTAATAAATTGAGGCATTTTGGTCTGGATGACTATGCAATATCCATCGAAAGTTATTCAAATAAGAGATGTCAATGCACAATGATAGGCAGTGATGTACCTGATTTAAAATCTGTTATATCTGTAGTGTCCTAGGAAAGTATCCTATCAGTTTTAGCTTACATTGCTGATTTTTATCGACACTCAAAGTTCTGCAGAATCCATCAGTATACTAACGATACACAAATCTATTTTGTTCCATGGCAGATAGAGATGTTGCTTGTACCAAAATTAATTCTGATCTAAAATATATTTATGAAATTTCCTGTCTTCATAATTTGAAACTGAATGAGTCAAAATCAGAACTCTTTATAATTGGTAAAAACAGATTTGACCTGACGAACGAATTCCCATTTCGAAATGAAAATAATTGAAGGTTTATTAACACAATAAACAAATATTTACCTAATTCTTCTGGTAGTTGGTTGGAATTTTTCAAATCAATCAGCAGGTCTACAAAATCATTGACCCTTGTTTTGCTCAACTCTCTTGATTTCATAGTTTGGGTAAACGCTTGGGAAAAGTAGTTCCTTACCTCTTCGGAAAAAAGGTTAATGTGGAAAATTTTGACCCAGGTCTGTATAAAAAAATAACTCATTTGAGAGAAGGCGTTTCTCAAAGAGAACTCCAACATAAGCCTACCATATTTTCTAAAGTCAGATTCTTGATCGTCAAAACAATATGCATCGATTCCAAAGGCACATTTTGCTATAACATCGGTAGAATATCTCGCTGATATATCTTTCGCTTCAATTTTTCCCACGTTATCTTCAAGATATTTCACCATTTCTTCAGCGACATTGTATATCAGAGAAAACATAGCTTTCAGTTTACCAGATGTAAAAACAGGAGTCAATTTTGTTCTATCACTTTTCCAGCGAGGACTTTTTTGAAAAAACATAAAATTTGACATGATTTCGTCTTGAGGTTCGGCATTACTCCTATCGGGGAAATAATCCGCATCCTTCATCATCACGAGTTGAATCAGTTTAGGGTCTTTCAATACCAAAGAAGGTTCGTCGAACATAAATACTCCAAAAAATCTTTCGTCCGTAGAAAAATATAAAGAAGATAACCACTCAGAAAGACATTTCTTCAAGAAGACTAGTTCTCCTATGTTTCCCAAGAACGGAGTTGGCTTTGGAGAATATACACCTCGTTTCTTCCAATAATCAAAATTTCTTACACTGTACATCCAAAGGAAGCATATTAGGAACACTATGAAAATAATCAGCTGGAGTATCCAAGATGGTATCAGTAGCATCTGGAAATTATTGTCATATATTTCTATTATAATATAATAGATATGAAGATAACTGAACAAACTCATAACTACTTTCACCATAATACAGATACAACGGGATAATGTATAAAATGTTTTTTAATAACATTCGTCTTCAAGCATTTTACATTATTCAATAAATGAACATAATGAAAGGTAGAACTGGAAGCTCTAGCCTAGAATAAATCCAAAATACCTACTGTTCTCTACAATCGACTCTTAAAAGGTGCTCTGCGGCAAACAGAGGTCCTGACTTCTGGCAATAATGAAGAACTGGTAAGGTACATGATATTCATCCAAAATAAAATAGACATTGCCCACATAGAATCCTGTCCGATGAGGATGGTTCAAACAGATCCCACAACCAATTCACGGTGGTGCTCTGAACTGGAAGACAGCGAGAACGACCTTTTACAAGGCAAAACGTACAAGACTCGAAGAGGACTGGGGTATATATCAAGCCAACCTCAGAGAGTTCAAAAAAATCTGCAGATAAAAACAAAGAGAAGCCTGGAAAGTCTACTGTGAGGTAGTCGAAGACCTCCCACTAGCTTCTATGCCACAGAAAGCACTCTAAAATGACCACCATGAGAGTATCGGCAACTTGACGAGGGAAAATGGTGACAAAGCTGCCAACCTCCAACAAAGCGCTGAGATTCTTATGAAAACTTACTTCTCAGGTTCTTTTTTTCCGGGAACGACGAACTGGACAGAAGTACCAACAACACCCTCACAATACGACTGGCAATCTGCTAGTGCAGTAATTGATAAGGACAAGATAAGATGGGCCATATCGGGCTTTTCCCCTTCAAGTTACCAGAACCTGACGGTATAAGACCAGCCCTACTTCAGTGGGGATTGGATATTCTTATGCCGCACCTAGTTGGAATATTCAGAGCCTCTCTAGCACTTAGGTATATTCCCAGTAAGTGGAGAGAAGTACTAGTGGTATTTATACTCAAACCAGGTGATTATGGATTACACCTAACCAAAAGCATTCCGACCAATTAGTATAATATCGTTCTTTTCAAAAACTATGGGGAGGCTATGTGAGCGGTACATAAGAGATGAAGTACTAGTTTACAACCCACTTCATCCAAGTCAGCATGCATATACTACGGAAAGGTCTACTGATTCGACCCTTCAGCATGTGATTGACAGGTTGACAGAATCGAAAGATCATTGGAGAACAAAGAATCCACCATGAGTATATTCATAGATATCGAGGGAGCGTTTGATAAAACAACCTTTCCAACAATAACCCAGCAACCACACTCCTGGAATGTACCTCTGGTAGTAGGAAAATGGATACTCAAGATGCTCTCTAGTAAAGCAATGTAGAAGACACCACAGTGAGAGGACTGATCTACAGGGAGAGGTCTTATCACCCCTTCTTTGGAACATATTTCTGGATACCCTAATTAATCACCTCAACAATAATGGATTCTACACAATTGCATATGCAGATGACATAGTTATCTTGAAGACGGGCAATTTGTTAACATACTGTGCGATAGAGCGCAAGATGGGCACAAATCAATAGAAACATGGTGTAAGGAAAACTCACTGTCGATCAATCCCAAGAAGACTGAGATGGTCCTTTTCACCGGGAAAAGAAGTTTATCAGGCTTAAAACCTCCCGAAATCTTCAAAAGCAACCTAAAGTTCTCTGAACAGGTGAAATACTTTGGTACTACCCTCGACAGGAAGCTAACATGGAACTCTCACCTACAGAGTAGAGCAAAAAGAGCCTATGTGGCTTATGAGCAATATCAGAGGACAGTTAAGGAGGTTGCGTTAATGGCCATGTTACGATTGCGCAAGGCTGGTGTGAACCTCGAAGTAGGAATGGGTCAATCGAGGCTGAGCCTATGACGAGAAGCGCTCACTGCGCAACCTGTACTGCAGGCAACCGGTGATGCAATTGAACCCAGGTTTGTGTTTAATAAACCCGACAAAATACAAATAAAACAGAACACAGAGTCAGATGCTACAAATTCAATACGCATATATACCTACAGACGGCTCAAAAACCAAAGAAGGCTCAGGATGTTGAGTGTACTCCAGATCACTCAACCTAAGGATTGATTGGGGAATGGGAAAAATACCAGCGTGGTTCAAACAGAACTGGCTGGTATCTCAATCGCCACAAAAGAAATAACCAGTAAAGGAATTTCTGGCAAAAACAAAACAATCTGCACTGATAGTAGACAAGCCCTATAAGCCTTGAACAGACGACGTATTACCTCAGGGCTAGTACTAGAGAGCCACCAAGAATTAGCCAAAGCCTCGGTAGATATTACCGAGGTGGGTTAAAAGGCACGAGACGAGTAAAAGTAATCGCATTGCCTACTCTTTAGCCAAAGAAGCGGCTGGACTAAGAATTTTAGGACTCAGTAACACCTACGACCTGATGACTTCGACAATTGCGTTATTAGCCAAATGACACACCTATGCTCAATCCCTAAAGAGATGGGATTGAATCAAAGGATTTGATCTTGACAGGATCACCCTGGGCGACCCTGTCAACCAAGGAAGCACCTCCATAATATGGGGCTAGCGGACACACCTCTATGCAGCATGTGTGAACAGGAAGATAAAACTGTCAGGCATGTCCTATGCGAGTGTCCGGAGTTATCGTCAAATAGAGAGTGTGTGTCGATATATGTCTCCTAGTGACCTGTCCTCCTTGCTGGAAAGGACAGGATGGCCTGCTGTGCTGTGGGCCTACACTCACAAATCTACTCTACAGATACAGATACCCAGTGTTCCCAAATACTAGAATGGAAACACTCTTCTTGATGCGCGTTTCCCTCACTGCGTTACAGCTCTGGTGTCTTAAAATCGGGCTTGTTTTGGATTTATCTGAACTGAGGTTATTCGTCTGGTTTCAGAGTGCAACAATCATACTGTTGAATTCAAAGCAAATTATAATCTTATTTTCAATAACCCTCATCCGTTTGATGTTACCAATAAGAGGACAATGTATACGCATCACTTTGAATTTTTGAGATTATAATATGAATATATTATTTACAAAATTAATATCATCACTGCTTTCAATCTGCTTTTTGTTGTATTCTCTTTATGAAGATTTGTTACAGAAATCATACTGATTCGATTTATTAACATAAGTCGTTGGAGATGACAGAGTTACCCTTACCTCGAGAAGATACAAAGATTTTTATAAGCAAAGAGCAATCGCTTTTCTCTTCATTAAATACTCTACCTCACAAAACTTTCACGATTGTCCTGCCTCGTCTTCAACTTTGGTATAGTATTATCTTCCAATAATGAATAGGTGTATTTTGTGAGAATTTTTGTTAAGGTAACAAACATAATATACATTTCGAAGTCATCGTGTGATAAAGGCCCCCTCCGATTATACGGTCACTTCTATCGAAAAATATCTTCATTACAGAAGTATTAAAGAGCAGTAAAACACTTTGAGGAGAACAATTGAATATTTAAAAGTATCCTCTAATCAAAATATGGATTTTAATCATCAAAATAACCATCGGTATATAAATAATAATCAATTTGTTCAGGTTTCAGAAAACTCAAATTGTAAAACTCACCGTTCACACTTAGAAATGAACAACACTAGCGAACTCAGAAAATTTTCAACGATAATGGTTAGTTACTTTGCCTTGATAATATTTAATGATCTACTACAGTAGCGTATCTCCAATCTCAAATCAAGGATATCATTCGCAAACACAACAACCATTAATAAATTTAATATGATTTTTCAAATCTTATGGAATTTGTTATGAAAGTTTATTCTTTTCATGATATGTCACTGCTCTAATTTTTTGTGACTTTAGTCTCAATGGAGTAGATATTCATTTCTTCATTCTGCTTTTCTATTTTCTGAGCTTGGTCTACACTTTTGTTAATTTGCATTTTGTATTTTCTGTTTTATTTTGCATTTCTCAAAAGTTGAAAAATGATGTAACCGAAGTATAATTATCTGATATCCAATATTCCATTTGGTTAGAATAGTTGTCCGAAGGAAATCGAAGATAAATTTTTGTTACAATTTTTGTGACCTCTTCGCTGCATTATTCAATTTATGAGGCAAGTTTCAGTTGTTTTTAGTTCGTTTATTGTGAAGCTTTCTAATAAACGCTTAATAATGATTGAAAACACTAATAGAGTGCTCACACAAAATAAATGTTGTGATTTAGTTATAATTTGCCACTGCTGGTATAGGCGAGTTTATAATACTTTAGCGGGTCCACCCTGTTATCGCAAATGGGTCGCAAACAAAAGTCTTCACAGCGCTTAGGGCATTTTATATCTGGAGTGGTGTGCGTTTTCGTATTTAAGCAAAAATACTCACTCAAGAAGATATTCGGTATGAGCAAAAATATGGTGTGTTATAATCAGATGAATTCGATTAATATCCATCGAATATTTCAAAGGTCTGATTTCCATATGTTATCCTCTCCTCTCATAACATGTTCGATATATTTTCACCATTTTTGGAATCGATATTTTTCAAGGGCTCCTCAAAGAGTATTTCGGAATCTTTCATTTTGAATGACGTGTTTCTACAACAAAACCCCTTAGTAGAGCCCTAACGAGTTCATATTCCATACACATTCTGTGAAACGAGCTTTATCTGAACATAGTAAGGACAAACATTTTTTTTGACACACTTTTCATTGAATTGTATATTTTTTTGTCAAAGGCACTCTATGATTTCTGTTTTTCTCCGTGCATTAGTTTGTAATCTCTCAACTTTTATGGAATGATATCTTGCATCATCCATTACTCCACACATCACCAGATATTCATGGAATATTCCTCTATGTCATAAAAAAAATGTATATATTCCAAATATTCATAGAATATTCTTGAAATATATACGTGCCTTTAGAATATTCATAGATAATGCTTGAATGAATATGGCAGGGATTATTCCCGAAAAAATGTCCATAGAATGTCTATAAACGCATTATTCTCCCGTAAATATTCTAAGAATATTGTCTAAAAATATACCACAATAATTTGAGAATATTCTAAGTATATTTTCAGAATGAATCTCCACGGTATATTTTGGAATATTCTCTACGGTGTATTACTGGAATTTTGAATTATCTTATGATAACGTATTCAAATAATTCGATATTATCAAAACAAAAATAAACCAGTATTTGAACTCATCGCGAAGATTCTGATAAATTGCTCCAACTGTTGGAAACGACAAAAAAATTCGAATGGGCCAATAAATGAATAAATTTCATTGATAAATCGGTTTATTCTCATTCTATTTGTTTTTTTTGTATTTGAAATTATTTAATTACAAAGCGACAAATCCTGGCACCAGAGAAATGGGAAAGTGAAGTATTGGAATAAACGTTTCTCATTGGTCAATTCAAGTGTAGCGCGCGACAGTCGGAACTCTGTGAAAGCAGCTGCCCCTTAACGCTTGGCAACTTTGCGTTGAAATCGACATTTGGTTTAACATGGCGGTTGACATGGTAGATCCGCGTGTAATGCATGGTGTAGTATTGGTGTTATATTATCAAAGTATCATTCTCTCATATTTAGTGTATCACTTGTAGTTTTAGGTTGTCCAATTTGCAATGCGGTGCTTTTGCATCTTCAAACAGTAGAGTTACACATCCAGTAAGTGAATGACACATTCTTTTGCATCATTTGTTTCCATAATTTTTATCACTCTTTTTCAAGATAGCATCAATATGCCCAAAAGGAAACGGAGTGGTACAGACAGGGACGCCAAGAAACTGAAAACGTAATGAGTACTTTTCAACAAGGGAATGCAAGTTGCTCTCCAAGTCATAAAAAGTTGTAAATATTCATGAGGAACCTATGACAAAAATATCTATTGATTTTTTTCCAATTTTGTTGTGCCACTTTCACATTTTATTAATTGTTCCAGGCTGGCTGATGCATTGTGAGACAAATATCAGGAAAACTCTTCTGGTGAGCAAAGTTTGGATAGGTAATTTTAAGTAAGTGAAATTCATTGAAGAACCCATCATACCACTCCTTTATAATACTTCATTTGTGGGTTTATTTTTTGAAGTAAGAAACCTATGTCTCGCTCCATTTCTTCATGTTATACATTTTTTCTTTTTCAATGAAATGATATTTTCATTATTTTTAATTAATGCTGATAAATTCACAGAGTTGTCATTTTATTATATTTTTCAGTATACATTTTTTGTGAGTAGGAACATTCTAATTTAAATACATTTGTAATATTTGTAACATGAAAATATTCAGGAATATTTCATTCAGTGAATGAATATCTCGAATTAGAATTTTAATTTTAATATTGGTAGTGTGTAACGGTTTAAATTTCTGAATTCAGAAGAATCAGTAGAGCCGCCCTGTAGGTTCGTTATTTTATTGCAGGGATGGTAGGTTGTCTATAAGGCAGGAGTAAATAAAACCAAGGAGATTTTCACGGTCAGGATTTAGAAACGATTCAGATTAGTATCTATCGTAAAGCCGACACGAAAGCAAGGCTCTAGCTAGGGACTGTCCGAAACCTAAAAACATCTAAGGTCAGTCAAATTAGTCAATTCAATATTTTCATTTCCTATTCATAAAATATCAACACAGAATTCCATAACACATTTTTTCAGGTTTTTAGGAGAAGAATAACAAGATCACCTGTGAAAGATTCACATCGAGTACTGTCCGACCTTTTATTCTTTTTTGGTGGTAAAAAAAGCTTTCAAGGCATATTTATCTGGTAATTGGAGAAATCCTTCGAAAAAACTATAGTTGCATCATACACGTCGTTCTTTGAGATACGAGAAGACATTCTAGAAAGTACCAACGGAGAACCGTAGCAAGTATAGTCTAATCAACAAGTTCAAAAACATGAAAAATAGAAATAAAGGTCCTGAAAATATGAGCGATAGCTCATTCGATTCAGAATCACCTCTAGAAAAAATTTTTTGAAGGATTTTGGTGCAGGTAAAAAATTGCAATTGTTATTAACAAAATAAGATTTTAAAAAAATGGTATTTAGTTTTTCGTTATCAACTCAAAAAATAATGATATATAAGCGCTTGTTAAAGAGGAGGAAATATCCGATAAAAAAGTCCTGACTCCCGAAACTCTATCTCCATTATTTATAATTTTCATTTGACGTTGAAAATAGGGTTCCGCGCGGCTGTTACGGCATGCGCGCGCTGCCGCTAAAGAAAGTTTATGAAAAAAAATATTTCTTTCATAACATAAAATGTCATTTCTACGGGACTCGATTCATTCAAGTGTTAAGAAGATACCAGATTTCTTTCAAATTTTTAAAATTTAAAAGAAAATTCTTCAAACACAAATATTCGTCATTCGTGTCTTCACGCCAATCGCCAGAATGTTTTGACTGAAACATCAATAAACCATCCTTAACAAAATCATCAACAATTCCAATACAAAGCATAGGCTGAAAAGTCCCGTACCTAAGAAAGAAAACGCGTTTTTTTTTGTTCAAAATTGGCTTTATTTGTCAACGTAATCTCCATCGAAGGCAACACAATCATTCCAGTGCCGCTCGTCATCATTTAATACCATTTTCGCCTCAAAATTGACCATAGTTTCAGCAATAATCTAACTTTTCATTTGAGCAAAATTTCTTACCGGTGAGCATTTTTTTGAGGTCTGCGAACAGCCAGTAGCCGCTGGGAGCCAAATCTGGCGGTGGATGTGGGAGTAATTCGGAGTTCAATTCATGTAGTTTTGCCATTGTTTTTATTGATTTGTAACACGGTGCGTTGTCTTGATGAAACATTTTTTTTTCTTTACCATATGCGGCCGTTTCTTTGCAATTTCGGCCTTCAAACGTTCCAATAACGTTATATTGATGGTATTTTCCTTCTCATGATAATCGATGAATATTACACCATGCACATTCTAAAATACCGAGGTCATAACCTTTTTAGCCGATTGTTGTGCTTTCAGGCACTTTGGACGAGGTTCACCGGTTGCTCTCCACTCAGATGACGATTGTTTTGAATTCTAAGTGAAGTGATAGATCCATGTTTCATCCATTGCCACATATCAATGCAAACATTCCGGTTTGTTATGTTTATACATGGCAAAACACTGCTCGGAACATAAAGACGTTCTTGTTTTTGATCAACAAAGAACTTGCGCGGAACTCACTTTGAACAGAGCTTTCTCACAGTCAAATGCTCATGCAATATAAACCAACACGTTATTTTGATATCTTTACAATGTTAGCTAACTCACGCGACTTCATTTCTCGATCATTCAAAAAGATTTTGTGTCTTTTTAAGTTTTCTGATGTTGCCGCCTCATTTGATCGTCCACTGCGTTCTGCATCGTTGGTGTCTCTACGACCACGTTTAGTTTAAAGTCAGCAAACCAACTTTCATTTATTGTTTCTGATGGAGCGGAGTCCTTATAACACTTTTTAAGCCATTGTTTCTCTTGAATGGTATTTTTTCCATCAAGAAGCATTGTAAAATTCAAACAATAAATTGTTTTTGATTCATTGTTTAGAGAATAACAAAATTAATGTCACTCTTAGCACAATGACACACAAACTTATCAGTAGAATATCATGAAATTTCAAAATTTCAAAACTTGCGTGAAGTTAGCGTCGGACGCCAGCGTACAAATCTAACACCCGCCCCCCACTCCTGAGTCCGATTTACACCACACAACTAGT